ATCACAAAAGGTACAAAAGGTTGCTAATACAACCTTTTTGGAAAGAAGTTTGGAGAACCCTCAAGGATCTAACAGTAGACCTACTGTTTGGTCCTGTAATTCCTCTACTAACTATATACCCAGATGTTCAAAAATTATTTTACAATGAAGACATTTGCATGATAATATTTATTGCAACCCAATTCATAATTGCCAAGACATGGAAACAGCCCACATGCCCATTGACCCACGAATGGATTAATAAATTATGGCATATGTACACCACGGAATACTATGCAGCCATAAAATAGATGGAGACTTCATATCTTCTATGTTACCTGGATGGAGCTGGAACATATTCTTCTTAGTAAAGTATCTTAAGAATGGAAAAAGAATTATCCATAGCACTCAACACTATTATGAAATATATAATCACCTATGCATTCATATGAATGGTAAAACCTAACTATAGTCCAGAAAGTAGAATGGAAGAAGAGAAAGAGGGGAGAGGTGAGGAGGGGGGAGGAGGGAGGGTATTTGGGGGGACCTATCCTAATGTGCATGATGGAAAGGTACATTTCAAAGCTATCAATAAAAGGGAAAAAACATAAGAAGCTCTAAGAGTTATGATTTAGTAATGGAAAATATTGCTAAATGGAACAACAATTTATGTTTAGGAAATTTCACCTCATTATTGAGTACTAGTCCTATCAAAGACTTAACAATAAATGAGAATCTGACTTCCCTCAGTCTTTTCCTCTCCACATTTTTAAACTGATCTTGGTTTTAGATCTTAAAACAGCTGGTGTGATCCTTGTTTAATAATTTTCACAAACATGTTAATTTTTATAAGGAGATGTAATTCTGAACAAAAGACTTGTGTAATTAATTTTGACCTAATTTTCTCAGAAAGGCCTGTCACTGAAGAACTGATGGCTAAGATCCAGAGGTTTAAATAGAACTCGAATGCCAGCCTCCAACACTATAAGTAGTTCAGTTAAGTTGCTGCAATTAGAATGGCCTCTACCTCTTATGTAGGGAGGAAGGTATAAAGGATCCCCATGATATTCTTGAGGCAGTTCTGCCTATATATACTCTTGCTGACTGTCTTAACAATTCTTCATTGGCTGCTTTAAGAGCAAAAGTAGTGGCTCAGCACCTGTGGCTCAAGTGGCTAAGGCAACAGCCACATACGCCTAAGGTAGTGGGTTCAAATCCAGCCCGGGCCCACCAAAACAACAATGATGGCTGCAACCAAAAAATAGCTGGGCATTGTGGCAGGCACCTGTGATCCTAGCTACTTGGGAGGCTGAGGTAAGAGACTCATTTGACCCCAGGAGTTGGAGATTGCTGTGAACTGTGAAGCCACGGCACTCTACCCAGGGGATAGCTTGAGGCTCTGTCTCAAAAAAAAAAAAAAAAAAAAAGAGCGAAAGTAGTAATAAAATTATTTCCAGAGTCAGCTGGCATTGGAAATCAGTTATAATCAGGAAGATGATTTCCTTCAGTTCAACAAGTATTTACTGAATAGTTATAGAGTGTGTAATCAGTATTGTGCTAAATACTGTGAGATATACCAAAAGGTATGACTCATCTTTTTACTCTTAAGTTTATTTTTTTTTGTGATAGGAAAAGGGTGCTAAGCATAAAATAATATGAAAACAGTGCAAGATGATTGAGCACAAAGAGACAAATTGAATTAATTTTTGGCTGGCATAGGGTCAATTTTCATGCAAGTTGTACATCTTGAGATGATTTTCAAAGGATGGATAAGATTTGGACACACAGGCAGGGAGCATATTTTAAGCAGCAAACAATGTGAGTGAAGACTCATGGGCAGGAATAGCAGGGTATGTGCCCAGCACACTGAAATATATTATACTGGAGCACAGAAAGGGTTGGGAAAATAGAAAGGGCTACTATGTTTATGTAAACATTTAAAGGTTTTACATTGAACATATAGTTATAGCTATATGGTTCTATCTATATATCTGTTTTCATACAGTATCTCTATCTAAATACTACACACACACACACACACACACACACATACTCTTACAGTAAAATCTTCGTAAGTTGACCACCAAGAGACTATAACAAACTGCTTAACATACAAACGTGGTCAACATAAAGAACTAGGCCTATTATACTGATATGTACATGGGGTGCCTTTCCAATCTATGAAAAGTAGGTCAATATAAGGAGGTGGTCAGTGTAGGGAGGAAATCAGCTATGGAGGTTCTACTGCATTTAAGCATTACTTGTTAATTCTATAACATTTAAATATACTGTGTGATGAGATTGACTTTATAGGTTTAGCTATTTACTCATGCCTCCATATAAGAGAATTTACTCTGTTTAGGAGATAATCATTACTTCCCTAGGAAAGCAACAACCAAGTGTACATCGGTAAGGTAACTAACATTGTGGTGAATTCATCCAGACTCTTAAATAAAACAAGGCTATACATACCTTTAAAAATGTAATGATACTACACTGTTTTTGGTAACCTGCTTTTTTTTTTCTTTCACTGACTTGTATCTTATAAACTGTTTTCATGTCACAGATGTAATTATGAAAGCTTATCTGTGTTTACTTAGAAATTTTTCCATTTACTTCAGAGGATATGGATTTTTAACATCTGTGTTTAAAGGGCAAGTTAAAAAATACCAGTAGTCAAGTTTGAAGTAAATTTATTATCTATATACTCAAGAATAAATGTGACTTTAGGGCACTTGGACCCACATGCAATATCAAAGTAGTGTGGAGTACAGGAATGGAAGAAAAAGTATCCAATGTACACACACCTATTATGAAACTAATTTAAACCTTTTTATATGAAAGCTATAGCCTAATAACAGCCTAAGGTTATGGGGAGGAGGGAGAGGGATTCGAGGGTTCACTTCTGTGGTTCATCTTGCAAGGGTACAAGTGAATCTTTATATGAGTAGAATATGAATGTTTTGACATAATAACTAAGAAAGTTACATGAAGGCTATGTTAACCAGTTTGATGGAAGTGTCTTGGATTATGTATGAAAACACCACACTGTACCCCCAAAGTGCATCAATGTACACAGTTACCATTCAATAAAAAAAAAAAAAAAAAAGTAGTGTGGAGTATGGCCTAAGTTATTATCCTCTAGGTAGTGTATTTCAAGGGAGGAAAAGTGGCTAAAAATATTGAAAAGATTGGTGTCAAATAATGTGAAACTGGATCAGTGTCTATAGTTCAGTGGTTAGCATGCCAGCTGCATACACTGAGTCAGGTGGGTTTGAACCCAGCCTGGGCCTGGTAAACAACAAGGACAAGTGCAACAACAACAACAACAACAACAAAAATAGCCGGGCATTGTGGTAGACGCCTGTAGTCTCAGCTACTTGGGAGGCTGAGGCAAGAGAACTGCTTAAGCCCAAGAGTTTGAAGTTGCTATGAGCAGGGTGACATAGTGAGACTCTATCTCAAAAATAAAATAAAATAAAAGTTTAAAAGATGATGTGAAACCAATAGAATATGTCTTGTTTAGGACACTATTCATGTTAATTTGTGTTTAGGATTTCAAATGTCTCTGAGGTCTAAAAATTTTCTAACACTTGTCCCTGAAATACTCTTTCCAAATAACAAATGGAGAGAGTCTAACAAGAAATACATAAAGACACATTGTATTGAGTAGAGTTGCTCAATATATAAGTATAAGATATACTAACAAATCAATCTGGCTTTTACTGAGAATATGTAAGTACAAATGAAAGTAATTCTTCTATAGTTAGTGTAATTTTAAAAACTAGTAGGTGAAAGAGCTATCTGCACTCCCATATGTATTTATTGTAGCACTATTCAAAATCACCAAGACATAAAATCAACCCAAGTATCCATCAAAAAATGAATCCATAAAGAAAATGTGGCATAGATACAAAATAGAAGCATATTCAGCCTTGAAAATAATGAAATCCTGTCATTTATGGTTTAACATGGATGGCCTTAGAGGACAATACATTAAGTAAAATAATCCAGGGACAGAAAGATAAATGTGTCACTCATATGTGGCAGCAAAATCTGTTGATCTCATAGAAGTAGAGAGTAGAATAGTAATAAATACAGGCTGGAAAGGGAAAGATTGGTTACAAGACAAAAAATTACAGCTAGATGGAGGAATAAGTTCTATAGGGTGTCCCAAAATACGCTTCGAATCACCATACATAGGGAAAATGAGAAATTGCAGCTAAATATACCTTTATTTACAAAATATTTATTATAAAGTTTTATAAAATATTCTCTACGTGTTGACCACCTCTTTGTAAAAGTTTATAATGAATATCTTGTAAATGAAAGTACATTTGGCTACAATTTCCCATTTTCCCTATGTATGGTGACTTTAGGGTGATTTTTGGAACAACTTATAGTGTTTTATAACACTATAGGGAGATTATAATTAATAGAAATTTACTATACATTTTACATAGCTAGAAGAGAGAATTTTGAATGTTCCCAAGATGAAGAAATGACAATTATTTGAAGTGATGGATGTGCCAGTTACCCTGTTGTATGCGAGTATTGAAAGACCACATTGAAACTCATAAACATGTATAATTCTTGTGTGTCAGTTAAATTTTAACTTAAAAATTAGTAAAAATTAAAATCCACATTTTCCTTCCCTCCTCATAAGAGTAAGAGGAGTAACCCATGTGGTGATAATCAGAAATTCAGAGAATTTTATTTGCTTATTTTACTGTTTTGTTTAAGTACTTAAATTTAAGAATTATTAGATATTCAAATTTTGCATTCAATTAGATCACGTAGACTTGAGTGAAATGAAATTAAAAATGTTATTTCGATATTGATTTTTCCTTTAAATTACTCCCTTATTTAAAAATATATATCTAAGATGCAAATAAATTTAAGTAGCTTGATTTATGTGATTGCATTAATATGTTAATTTGCTGTTTTTCATTTCCCATCAAAATACCTATGAATTTAGAAAAACTTACATTGTTTATAATTGTGATTGATTTTTGTTTCAGGTCATAATTCAGGATGATTTCCCTGATAAATTGGACCCCAAATATTTTGGAGAGTTGCTTGCTGATCTAAGCCGTAAGAATGTGGATTTGTATCACTGCTTATTAGAACATTTGCAGAGAATTGGAGGAAGGTAGTGTAAACATACTTTTTGCATCAATGCTGTGTCAAAGATTTTACAACATTCTAGTGTTTTTTAAAAAGATGTTGTTTTTATGAGAAATTTTAGGTTCACATCAAAATTTTTAGACTTTTTAAAATTTTTTGACCATGTAAATTTATTTTTAAATTTTAATACCAAAGATGAAAAAATCATTAAAAGGTATGGTCTTGTGCTGGGTGAAAGGTTTTTAGACTTGACACCAAGAGCACAATTTATAAAAGAAAAATAATGACAAATTGGATTACATTAAGATTAAAAACATCCTCTTTGAGCTTACTCCTTTCTGCCTAGGAAGCATCATTAAAGTCCTTCTTTTCACTGTCATCATGTATAAGTCAGAGTCTCCTAAAGAGTCCAAACAGCTGCAAAAGGTATTCATTGGATGGTTGAACTTTGAAATTACTGATGAGAGTCAGACCATTCCATTCCATTGAAAATGGAAGGTGAAAATATGCAAAACTATTCTTTTAATGGGTTAACAGGGTAACTACATGAGAAATTTTGAAATTTGAAAATGTCTCATTATAAGAATTAATGATGCTGGCTTGGTGCCTATGCTCAGTGGTTAGGGCACCAGCCACATACACTGGGGCTGGTGGGTTCAAACCCAGCCCAGGCCTGCTAAACAGCAATGACAACTACAACAGCAAAAACAACAAAATAGCCAGGCATTTTGGGGGGCACCTGTAGTCCCAGCTATTTGGGAGGCTGAGGCAAGAAATCGCTAAAGCTGAAGAGATTGCTATGATCTGTGATGCCATGGCACTCTACCAAGGGTGACAAAGTGAGACTCTGTCTCAAAAAAAAAAAATCAATGATATTTATGAAATTCATCAGACAGATCACAAGAGCCCTTTAGAATCAGTAAAAAAAATTCTGGTTATAATTTACTTCTATTATAATTTACTGTGATGGCAAATGGAACCTCTTTAACAAGTAGCTCAAAAAATGCATAGTATATTATGAACTGTTTTAAGATATTATGTTGGGCATGGAGTTCAAAAAAATGCATGGTATATTATGGCTCAATTTAAGATATTATGCTAATGATATAATATACAATTCCACTGCCAACACACCACTGTTGAATCTTCCACTTGTGTGTGCTCAACATATGGAGGACAGAGTATAATATATATGAGTGATATGTGCAACATATATATGTGTTCAGCTGTAGCACAGAACTGGGAAATCATCAGAAATTTAAAATAATCTAGAAGATAAAGGAAAGTCAGTATAATTTTTTTCTAATTCAGACTTTCTGATAACTAGATTCTTCTACTTTGTAAATCTTCATTTAGTATATTGTTTCACATAAATGGAATGGCATTATATATACTACTTTGTATATCTTTTCACTAAAAAAATCATGTTTATTTTCACATGTCAATAATATTTTTAGTGCATGGAATGTATTCTTTCTTAGTATTTTCTCTATCTCTTTGTTCTTCACATATTAGCTCCCTCTCTCCTGCCTTTTTCATATTCATGATGGCATTCTATTATGATTTCCTGCAACTTCTTTGCATCTTTATCTAACTGTTCCTGCTACTTACCAAAATCCCAACTCTGGATCACTCTAGCTCTCTAGCTCTCTCTCTACCTTACTTATTGTGTCTTTTTACCACGATCTCCTCCATCCAATACCCAACATTCAATATCTTCAGAATGCAGAGGGCTCCATGAGGGCCATTTCATTTACCCTGGTGTCCTTGGTGCATAGCATAGAGACTGGTTTAGTGTGATGCTAAATAAATATATTCTTCAAAGAATGGATGCATTCTTTACTGCTAAACCCATGCCACTGACCACTACTGGAGAAAAGCAGAGTTGTTTGTTTGAAATGGTGCTTTATAAACTCATGATTTCCATGCTTAGCTAGGCCTTCATTATTGTTTCATCCTAATCAACATCCTCTCTCATTACCCATTACCCAAACAACTCTCCCTCTCTCCCATTACCCAAACAACTATTTCACAAATCATCTCTTTACACAAGTTCACTGCCTTAAAATCTTTCCCCTGACTCTTAACAGTCATTTAGCATATCCACTATGTTCCAGGCACTGTGCTAAGCACTTTATCTACCTATTTGTTATCTAATTTGCACAATAAGCCTAAAGAGCTTCAAATGGAGACTAAAAGAGAGTAAGTTATTAAAATAAAGTCACACAGCTACTAGGTGCTTGATAGGAATCAAACACTTTGATTACTCTTACTTATAAGCTATTGTTACCAGAATTTCTTCCCACAGTAGGTCCTTGGTCTTGGGAATTGGAAGAATGAACCCATGGACCACAGGTTAGTGGTAAGATAGGAGTTATCAGATAGAAAGGAATACAGAAGGAATAAAAAGCACCAGAGCTTCTGGAAGAGGAAAAGACCCAAGTGGGAAGTCTCCACGTGGGTCCCTTGTCTAGGGGTATAAGATCTTGAGAATTACATTTGGCTAGGACTTGGCAGTTGGAAGACACATTTCAAATGTTAATGAGCATATAAACGAATGAATGCAGTCCCTCCAGCTGGGGCAAAATGGCAGGGCATTCCCTTCATGAAATTGCCAAGGACTAGGAAACTGGAGTTCCCTGTAAAGCCTGGAATGGAGGAATCCTGTATCAATTCTCATTCTCTGACTGGATACTCTAACTGCTGTTAGGGACAAATAGACATTGACTCAATCTTAACTGCTTTCTGCTGGATCAGGCCAAAGATAGAAGGGGGCAGTTAGGGATTCTTAGGCAGTGGGCAATCCAGGGGTTCAAGATAGAATCAGGTATTGGATTGGTACTATTTACTGTTTGTGTCCTGATGAGGTCATCTCTGGAAGATACAAATCTGATTAGCACATTAAAAGGTACTGGTAGGCTGGGCGCTGGTAGTTCAGTGGTTAGGGCACCAGCCACATGCTCCAGGCCTGCTAAAGAAAAAAAAAAAAAAAAACATAGACAGGTGTTGTGGTTTAGCACAGTGCCAGGAACATAATGCCTGTAGTCCCAGTTACTAGGGAGGCTGAGGCAAGTGAATCGCTTGAGCCCAAGAGTTGGAGGTTGCTGTGAGCTATGATGCCAGATAACTCTACTGAGGATGACAAAGTGAGATTGTCTCAATAAAAGATAAATAAGTACACAAATAAATAAAAGGTAAGGGTGGAACAGTGAAAAGAGGGGGTTAATTACAAAGTCATTGATGACAGGTTGGAAATAACAAAGCTAGAGATTTCAAAAGAAAACTACATTAACACTTTCTTTGCTGGTTTCTAAGTAGTAACTCTAAATTTTCTTTAGACTCACAAGTGCAGGTGGACTATGGCTGATTCTCTCCATAGTCCAGTTCTGTAGAAGGTGGTTGGTTCCAAGATTTTACTTGTGAATAATATATCCAGGAATCTATTTCCATAACTTTAATAGCTGCAGGAGAAGACAATTACAGGAAAAGGATCATCCTGACTTTGGATCCGGGAAGGTGGATTGGAGGGAAGAGTTTTGATTACAACTAGATCTCCAGGAGAGAAAAGCTCTTTTAGTGTTAAATGTGAAAATGTATACAAAAATCATGTCAAGGTTAGATAGGGAGTTTTTTATAAGTCTTCTCTAGCTGCATAGATCTGTGCCATAATTGGTCGGCAATCATGTCCTATTTTCTCATTGGAATCAAAGAGTAAAGTGGCAGGATTTAAAGTGGTACAGGTGCATAATTGTAGCACCAGCCATTGCATTAATAAGACTTAATATTTAAGAAGGTGGTTGTTTGACAGCTAAAGATTTCCTTTTGAATATAGAAGTCCAGCAAGGTCATGACAAGTTAAATAATAGGTCTTTTCTTAAAATAAGCTTAGTTGTCTTCGGAGTTAAGAGGGCTACAGCTGCTACAGCATATAGACAGTGTGGCCATCACTTGGCCACAGTGTCAATTTCTTTACTAAGATAAGCTACAGGTTGTAAAAGTGAACTCTGGTGTTAATACTCTTAGGATAACTCCAGTCTGCTCTGTAGATTCTGTCCAGTCTTACCTTCTGCTTTTGTAGGATAATATATATATATATTTTTTATGTTATTTATTTATTTATTTTTTTTTTTTTGCAGTTTTTGGCCAGGGCTGGGTTTGAACCCACCACCTCCAGCATATGGGGTCTGTGCCCTACTCCTTTGAGCCACAGGTGCTACACTGTAGGATATTATTTTTGAGTGGGATAGATGGTGGGATTTTTTTTAACTTAATTTGGACCAGTTGAGCATATTTTGCTCTTCCCACCTGTCCCTCATTAATTTCTGTCTCTAATAAGGGAAGGCATAGTATATGGGTCCTTGTCCTGTATTCATATAAATGATTGTTCTTGGTTTAGTTAGTAAACCAACTAACCCTCCCTCAAATGAGAACAGGACCTTCAGGCATGATTAGGGAGGTCTGAGAGAACAGCCAGTCCCCCCAATTTCAGCTTAAAGCCTGAGAGGAGAATTTGGTAACTGGCTTTCCAGACGCCTTTTGTATACTTACAGATTTAGGGGAGAGAAGACCAGGAATAGAGAGGAGTACAGGAAGGAGGCGCTAGTGTCCAGGAGAAATTCTATCCCCTGGCTCTCCATGATGAGGTACACATTGGGGCTTTTGAGTGGTGATGACACAAGCTGGAGCCATGAGAAACTGTTCCAGGCACTCACTGTCCAGTTTGGGGGCCGAGGGGGTCACTGTACCAGGAGGCCTTCACCTCTGGGGACAGGCTGCCTTTCAGTGGTCACCTTTGCATTCTGGACAGGGGCTGTTGGTTTCCCCAGCAGGCAGTACTACCAGGGGCAATCTCTCTTAAAATGGCCAGTCTGACCACATTAGGAACACTTGTTCTTAGTTCCTTTGGCTTCCCTCTGAACCTGAATGGTGTTCATGTGTTGGACTGTCTTTTTTTTTT